GAGCAAAGGGTCTGAATACTTATGACCATGTGATATTTCAGTTTTTCTTTTTTAATAAATCAGCAAAAATGTCAAATTCTGTGTTTTTCTGTCAATATGGGGTGCTGTGTGTACATTAATGAGGAAAAAAAATGAACTTAAATGATTTTAGCATATGGCTGCAATATAACAAAGAGTGAAAAATTTAAGGGGGTCTGAATACTTTCAGTACCCACTGTATATCTCTTCAAGTTCCTGCCCATTGGCAATAAGACTCCTAGCATTTCACTGGAGAATAGCAACAGTCATTAAGAACTCCCACCCTCACCTTGGAACAGAGTCTGCACTTAACTTCTCCCAGTGAAGCCCCTTGACTCCCCAAATCAGCTCTGCTGCCTTAACAATAATCTTAGTATTTTCCGTTCTTTTATCAGTCACAATTAATCACTTCCACAATAAAAAGGACAATCGCCTTCTTATCCACTATCAATGTGTCCTCCATGATTTTAGTGCAACTATTCCTATAACTTACCTCACACATCTTTCCAGGTTTCTGAGAGCCAGCCACATCAGAGGTGACCAGTCTAGCTGCTTCTGCATAATACCTCAAGTGGTTTAAACATAATGTATCTCGGCTGCCTTCTTACTAGCTACACACACGTTATGCCTTGAGCTCTGTTCCTCACCACAATTACAAGACTTCAACTTAATATCCTTACTATATTTATCATACTCATGCTCACCAGCACATCTCCCACACCTTTGCTTTCCTCTACAAACTTTAGCAACATGCTGAGACTTTTGGCATTTAAAACATTATAGTGGTGGAGGAATATAACTCCTGACCAAGGTGACTCCCAGGTGAATCAAGATGGCAACCTCTCCTCCTCAAATGTAATCAGAACTGACAAGCTATCACACACTTACCCATTCCTAGAAGTTTTTAGCCTTCTAACTTCACTAACCTTACCTCTCTTCAAGTTATTTTTAATGCCATCCACAGTTACTCTAGTAGGTACACCTGAAATCACCCCTTAACAGTTTTATCCACTGTTGGGATAACACACTGTGCCTTTTCCGAATCAGAATCAGAATCAGAATCAGCTTTATTGGCCAGGTGTGTCGGACACATGAGGAATTTGACTCTGGTACATCGGCTCTCAATGTATATGTTGAAGGATATTTCCCAGTTACACTTAACCAGTGAAACTCAAAGAGACGAGGCGGTCCAAGTGGCTACAAAAAACCGTGCTGTTTATTCAAGGATCACAGGTAACATTAGACATTTCTAATACAACAAGTACCTAACCAATATCTATCTGACTAAAAATACCTAACAGCTAGTAACGCCGGGGCCCCCAGCAGCCTAGCTGTAACGCCGTCCAGAGGGGAGGAGTTCAAACAAATTGTGTCCAGGGTGTGAGGGGTCTACAGTGATCCACCTCCTATTGTGAGGTGCACAAGTCCTCCATGGAGGGCAGGCTCACACCAATGACCTGTCTGCAGTCCTGACTGTCCGCTGAAGTCTGTACTTGTCCTGTTTGGTTCCTGAGCCAAACCAGACAGTGATGGAGGTGCAAAGAACAGACTTGATGATTCCTCTGTAGAACTGTATCAGCAGCTCCTGGGGCTCTTCCTGAAGTCCACTGCCATTTCTACTATTTTGAGTGTGTTCAGCTCCAGGTTGATGCGA